TACATCTATTAGCATATTTATCTACATCTACTAACATTTAGCTACATATACTAACATATTTAGCTACATCTAACATATTTAGCTATATCTAGCATATTTAGCTTCATCTACTAGCATATTTAGCTACTTCATTGACTCAGTTCTTCTGATGGTGAAGCGATGAAGAACCTGAGAAGCTCTGAGGTGTATCAGTGTCTCCACAGTAATGAGGTCGGTGGTGTTTTGTTGAAAGAGGTGGGACACAAACTTACTGACCTTAAATCAGACACAGATCCAGACAAAGCCTTAAAGTCCTCCATCACTGAGCTCGGGTTCCTTACAGAGAAAATCATAAAACTGAAGATGAACAAATATATAAAGCTGTGACCTCCATACACCTGAAATCATCCCTAATGTTCTCGTCACTGTTTTCAATCCTTCTGAGGATCCGGCGTTTCTTCTCCGGTGGTTTATTGTCGTCCAGACACAAAGTAGGATGCAGGTTTTCCTCCGTCGGCCGTTTGTCGACGAAGTGAAATGAGCTCCCATGCAGAGTTTAGGTGGTCTCTTCAAGTTCACATGTTTCAGACACGTTCTTGTTAATTCCTCATCTGTAGGTAGGAGATGAAACTAAACCTCTTTTCACAGGAACTCTTTTTGTTGTGGGTCCGTGTTCAAACTCTGTTGTTGGAGCCACTGATTTAGTTTGGTCTCGTTGTTCTGCAGCCCTGAACACAACAGGTACCTGAACGCAGCACGGCTATTTTAGTAAACTTTATGGTTGTTAAATAAGTAAAACAGAGTTTTATCTGCTGAACTGAATGTAAATTACTTTCAAATAAACTGTGGTCTGTGCTCCACTGCCATGGTTAACCAGTGCTGACTGCTACTTCCTGTCTGACAGGAAGTTGTACCAGAATCATTCACACAGTAGAGCAACCAGGATTAAGGTAGATAGAATAATTTGGTACGTACAGACTATGATTATATTGAGAAATAAACGCACAGCCCGTTATCTTTTAGTTGTTTTCATGAGGATTACAGTTAATCCAGGGTGTAATTTGTTTAACTATCTTTTGTTTATTCTTTACAGTTGTGATAAAGTGAAATCAATGGAGAGTTTTGTAAAAGTTTAGATATTCCCAGCGGCCTTTAAGCGCATATTTCCAGGTTTCTCAGGAGCAAGTTCTCATCTGAATGCTTTGCAGGACACTGCTCCTGCTTCCTGGACCAATCAAGACTATTTTGACTTATAGTTTAAAAAATGTTGACGTCTTAGAGATTATTTTCTTCATACTGAGCATGACAACGGGTGCAGCTAAATAAAAGGCATGTACGTGTATAATGTTAAAATATAACATTGGCTGCTCCTCCCTAAGCACAAAAAGAAATATCTGACTCTCCTGTCAGCACTTTGGTTCTTGGTTCTTGGTTAAACGTGCTTTTATTTATGCGTTTTCTTTCCCCATGCCATGCGTCACTGCAAAGCTAACCTGGTGGAGCTGAATAACTGAATTTGTACAATTTGTATGTTAATGTGACGACTGTCCTCAGGGGGAACAGGAGTTCAGGTTGGATCCCATGCTGGAGGATCACAAAGTTCTTATGGAGAGGATGAACACCTGGAACTTCCAGATCTTCGACCTGGTGGACAAAACAGGAGGGAAGACGGGAAGAATCCTCAGCTATGTCAGTACATCCAATAAATCTAACTTTTTTCTTTCTTGAATACCGTGTTTCTTAACTGCCAGTCTCTCCATACGACTGAAGTCAAAACATCTCTTAAATCTTTATTAAAAATTGGAGACGTGTGGACTTTAAGAACTCGTAAAAAGTCTTATTCTCTTGTTTTGTCATTTGGTAACCAAAGTAACAGATGCAGTGGTGATAAAGCTGCAGGCAGCTTAAAGAAAAGGTCAAGCAGGAAAAATCTATTCTTAGTGGATTAGAAACCGTCCGTGTGCATGTGGGGTCATCTATAAAAATGGTCAACATGTTCCAGTTTATAAAGCCCCGACAGACACAGATATGAGCCGTTCAGCAATGGAAATGATGCTCAACGCAAAAAGTTTATTTTATGGATTTTAACAGACAGATAATTTGCTTCCATTCATATAAAATTATTAAAGTCATTTTTGAACAGATTCTTTCTGATTCATGTTTTGTGGTGCTGGTTTTCTTCTCCACATCCGTGTGTCGGTGATGCTGGCTTATGTTTCCTCAGGTGACGTACACGCTGTTCCAGGACATGTGTCTGTTTGAGATCTTCAAGATCCCTGTGAGAGAGTTCATGTCCTACTTCTGTGCTCTGGAAAGTGGCTACAGAGACATTCCCTGTGAGGATCACGCTGATGTTCATGTGGATGAAATTATACTTTATTTTGCTTTTACATTTAAAATACATGGGTGAATATTGTAAATCCAGTTTTATTCCTAGTGTTGTGTTTTGCAACGTGCAGATCATAACCGGGTTCATGCCACAGATGTGCTCCACGCTGTTTGGTACCTGACCACTCGACCAATCCCTGGGTTCCAGCAGATCCACAGTGAGCATGTAACAGAGAGCGACACAGGTAAAGGCCAGTCACTTGGCTGAGCGCAGGTCGTAAACGTAAGAATTCACAACGTGATGAAATATATTAGAAGATGCACAGACAAAGTTTGTAGACCAAGACTTCTGAAGGAACGTGCCGTATTTTACGCCGTAGAAGTCGCATCAGTCCAAATATGTCTAATAAAGTGGAAAAATCCATAAATGCATCGCTTCGCCGTGTAAGTCGCATCTATTCTGCGTCACCGCTGACAGCCTGGTGTGTGCCAAAAATGATTGGCTGCCAAATGGCGGGAGCGTGCACGGGAGGACTTTAATAAGAATTTAACAAGATTAACACTTAAAAACAATTTGTTGTTTGCTCGAAATGATAGTAAAGGTGTGTCTCAGTTAAACGTTTACTTAAAAATGCACTTGAGCTTCATTTCACCGGAGCAGCGCAGCAAAATGAAGCTGCTTTGACGTTTGCTCCAGGCGAGCTGGACGACGATGGGACTATGGCAAGCAGATTGTGTCATTAATAGCCAATTTTACCTTTTACATGACACAGCGGCATGCCATACTACTCGAGCGCCATCTAGCAGCTAAAAATGGTAGTGTTCAATATTTTCAGTCAGAATGAATGAAACTGTCATATCTCAGATAAAAATGAGTTTATAAATATGAGAAAATACATAAATGAGTCACTTTGGTGTATAAGTTGCAGGGCATGCAAATTATGCAAAAAATGCAACTTATAGGCCGAAAAAAATTGCACATTTGGTCAACAGACCAGTTTAGTTGTGGTTCAGGAGGAAGGACAGTTGTCTGCTATTTGGAAGGTTGGTGGTTCAATCCTGGCCTTCCTTCTAAGTGTCCTTGGGCATGACACAGAACCCAGTGTAGCATTTGATCAGTGAACTGGTGTGTGAATGGATGAAGATGACTTGTGTGATTTGAATATTTACAGAGCTGTACAAGTGTTTAAAACTTTTAAATGTTCTATACTTTGACCTGAGAACTGTCTTGTCTTTTTAAAGTGGTCTTGAGCAATGTTTGTTTAGTCTTTCTGAAGTTTCTTTAAAGTTTTTTTTACTTATTTTCTGTGCAGTCTTTGTGCCTGACCATGACAGCATGTTGTCCAGAAGAGGTGTTGGGCCTAAAAACATCAATGCAACATGGTATCTCAGTGTCATGTCTTTAGATAAGAAAAAAACTAGAAAAGATTTGATACTGGACCTGAGAGATGCATCATCCTTCAATTGATCATCTACTCAATGACAAGTTTTCAACAAATAGCTCCTTGAGAATCTCCTTATTGGTGTTAAACTGTGTTATCTGTGGTATTTTTTATAGATTCTACAAAAAATGAGAACAAGATGTGTCTTTGAGACTGGATTCTGAGAACAAAGTGGCTAAAGGTTCTTTTTAAAATTGGTTCTCTGATAGGTTGTCTGTGTCAACATAACGCAGATTCAACCCTGGAGTTTACGGGTCGTTTTGTGCATGAAGGTCAGAGTTTAAATCAAAAAAGTCTGAAGAACGTTTCTTTGTGAATGGTCAGGAACTGGGCTGAAAATGAGTTAAAAAAAAAAAAAAAGGCAGCAAAAGTTTAAAGAGCAAGTTTTGGAGATCCTCTGACAGCCTTAAGAACAATTACTCCAGATCACCTTAAAATATACAGAAATAAGAAATGAATCAAGGTTTTATCTCAATATTGCGCCTTCAGTTATCTTAAAATATTGAGCATGCTAATGTTTCTTCTCCTATTTCAGCTTTTATTTTTTTATGTTCCAGATTCAGATAGTGGAATATCTCCGGGCAGGATATCCTACGCCTCCTCCAGGAGCTCCACGGTGTCAGATGACAGCTATGGCTGCCTAGCCTGGAACATCCCTGCCTTGGAGCTCATGGCCCTTTATGTAGCAGCTGCAATGCACGATTATGACCATCCAGGCCGCACAAATGCCTTTTTAATAGCCACTAATGCACCTCAGGTAACCTACAGTTTTTCAGGTTCTGTTAGAAAACATCAAAACACTCTAATATAAATGCATAATGTCCTGATGCATGCCCAATAATCCATAATCCATCAAAAATACATAACGTTGGTGCTGCGCTGTGTGAAACACTGCACTTTCAAACCATACGCAGAAGTTTTTGTATTTTGATATATTTGTAAATCTGTTTGCTGAAGCGTTACTCAAGCTTTTGGTTCAAATAATCGGCCTTCGTGAAGCTAAAAATGTAACATCACCCTTATCTCTGTCTGTCATTGGCGTTATCCGAGCTTAAAGGGTCATTGTTAGCAAAGTTTTCAACCTGACCTCAGATTTTTTTTTTCTTTGAAAATCAACAGTGCTGAGCGAAATATCAACACCGGTGTCTGGAGCTAAGACAAACTCTGTGTTTGCAGAGAATCACATGGCAGCCGCTGTGCAGTGATGTAATACACACCAGCACTATTTCTGGTCTGTAGCTTTACTGCTCACTTTAATATTCAAGTAGGTTATTAGTTGCTGTCAGAAAATGTCATTGTGCCACCAAACAAGCAAAAAAAACATTTGCACCATTTTATCTTTGTTTCCTGCTATTTGGCAGGTGGCCGAGCAAAGTGTAGCTGTGCCATGTGTAGCTCATTGAACTGGTTTTAAAGGAATCTGATTAAACTGAAGTGGTTCAGTGAAAGAAGAGGCAAGAAGAACCTGATGGCAACATGCACACTGGACTTTGGTAGTAGTCTTTCAGCTGAATTTTAAATTCTAGAGGCTCCTTAACTGTCGAGTTCTGACGAGCTTTCACTTCAACGTGTGTCAGTCTGGGGATTTATGGGGCTTGTTGCTGGGAAAAAGATTTGTAAAGGTAGATGTACCGTAAGCTTAACATCCTCTGAGAATTACTACAGAGTCCACGTGGGACCAGCTGAGGAAAGAAAAGATGTTTTGCTAATCATTTCTCTCAATTAATTGTAATACGGTAATAATAATTAATAATTAGGGTGTGCTTTTAGATTCATTTATTTGATATTACGTACTATCAATTTTACACCTTTAAAATGTAATGTGGCTATCCATCCATTTTATTCTGGTACCGATCTCCAGCGATCATTGGGCGAAAGGCAGGTCATCAAACGGCACAGATGGATAAATGAGAGATTCATTCATTCATTCTCTTTGACACCAAGGACAACTATGAGTCATCGTTGAAGCTAACATTTACTTTAAAGAAAATTATTTTGGCTCCATAGGTTTTGTCTGATTTATGGTTTTCCCATGTGCACCTGAATGCAACGTGAAACTCCTGTTCAGTTCAATTCAGTTCAATTCAGTTCAGTTTATTTCTTCAGCTCCAAGTCACAACAGAAGTCGTCTCAGGCTGAACAGAAACATTCAGATGTAAAAATAATAATTTAACATTATTTATCTGAGGAGCAGCATCGCAGACTCGTCTTGAACAAGCATGAAGGCAACGGTGTTGGCAACTGGCAACAGGCAACGGTTGGCATCTCTGGGTACAAAATGCAAACCTGCTGGAACAAATCAATGATCTGCCGTATCTTGCTGAACTGTGGGCACGGGTTAGCTTTGTTTTAAAAGAACTCTGTGTTTATTTAATAAAGGGTTTGTCTTAATTTGATGAAAAGACCGTTTTCATTCAAACGAGGCTCTCTTGAGTTCACAGCCGTGTTTCTCATCTGCTTTTAAAATCTCAAGATGGAGACGGACAACACTCAGCCTCTGGATTCAAATTGTAGAGTTTTTTTTTAAATACCAGTTTGAATTTGACTGCACCACGTTGTGGTAATCCTGATGTAGCTCGTCTCCCAATTATTTAGTTAATCTTTAACTTAAGTCAACATTTTCCTTACACTCATTTTCTTTACGTGCTTCCTAACACAAAGCTATCTTAACTGATATTTGACATCAGTGTCTTTTACTGTCCCCAGACATCATTTTAGTCATTTACTTTGTCTTAAATGTAGGTCACACGCAAGATTAGCTCCTCATTACAGTGAATTCCAGTCGCAATTACATTGTCCTTTGTCAAGCACCAGAGATATGTAATAATTAACAGCTTGCCCCAGTTTAAAAGTTCTTTCACCAACCTGTCCAGTGATATATCTACTTGGAAAGTAGGTCAGAAGAACAGTAAAGGACCTTGAACCAACTGATTCCCAATGATGTGGTTGACCGTCGTGTGTGTTGAAAAGAGCTTGCAGTTTTTTTTTGTGTCTGACAGTTTAGCTGCTCGTTCTTTACACGTCCCTCTTTCCTAACTAGATCTGCTCAAGTCCCTTCATCTCAATCCTGAGTGATTGCTATTTTTAAATCCATAACAAGTTGTGCAACCTATACACAGACACATTATGTAAGAAAATGCATTTCTAATCTTTCAGAGGAAATAGTGGGAGTCTGTTGATATTTTTTCAGCAGCTTTGTTTTCCCTCCTGTAAACTGTAGGCGGTGCTGTACAACGATCGCTCAGTTCTGGAGAACCACCATGCTGCGTCCGCCTGGAGCCTCTATCTGTCCCAACCTGAGTACAACTTCCTGGGCAACCTTGATCACGTGGAATTTAAGCGGTTTCGCTTCCTCGTCATCGAGGCGATACTGGCCACAGACCTCAAGAAGCACTTTGACTTTCTGGCTGAGTTCAATGCAAAGGTCTGTGATGAACTTTAAACCAAAGTGTTAACTCTGGCGTCCATGCGTTGCTTGGATCATTTTATTTAGGAGTACATACAGTAGAATGACGAGTGTGAGCTCAGTTGTTAACTAAGGCATCCGTTTGTGTGTGTTGACAGGTGAATGATGTGAATAGTCCAGGAATTGACTGGACCAATGAGAATGACCGACTCCTTGTGTGCCAAGTGTGCATCAAGCTGGCAGACATCAATGGACCAGCCAAAGTCCGGGACTTGCACATCAAGTGGACAGAAGGCATAGTCAATGAGTTTTATGAGCAGGTACGGACCGCACGCTAACACAGCAGCGTGCGTTTATATATTGCAAACCACATCTTGTTTAAAACAATACTTTGCTCTTTTCAGAAAAAGTGTATCAACAGTGGTGGGCATGGTTTTGCTAATCCACTAATAGCAGAACTAACGTTCTGTTTATCGGATTAGTGTTTTTGCTAACTTTGAAAACCTTTAGCGGAATTAGCTTCTGCTAAATTTAAATCTGATAAATTCAAGTCTGTTGTATTTTTTAAGACGGTTCTCTGGACTAAAAGAGTCCAGGAGAATGGAGGTTTACATGCAGATATGCTATGCAGCGCTAAGTACAGCCAAGCACCACTCGGTGATGTCACCCCCCCTCGCAGTACTTTTCCCCCTCGCAGTACTTTTCCCCCTCATACCTCCCACTAACAATCTCTGACTCATGGTTTACAGCCAACACACTTTAACATGAATGCCAAACCAGAACAGGAAAAGAACATGAAAAACACATTTTCACACTCATAAACATCACAAACAGTCAGAAACATTGCACACATTTCTTACCCAGCATGCTTTGCAATGCTCACACCGTCTCTGGGACGTGACTCTCTCACACATTTCACACATCTTTTCTTTAATACAAACAGATTTATTACCGAGAGAATATTGATGATGATGCACAACAACTTTGTAGTTAGTTTGTAAAAGTAGTTAATTACAAAAAGGATCGGCAAAGTGAGTTAATTCATTAAATTAAATGACACGAGGGAGACGTCCAGCACCCATTGAATGCATCATTATAATGCATAACATGAGGGAGACGTCCGACACATTGAATGCATCACTCTGCTTCATCACAGCAGAGTTCTGCTCCGACTCTTTGGTTCTGATGGACCAGATACATTTCTGAAAGCTCACCTCTGAAGGGGACACGAATGCTTTACTTGCGATTTATGAACCATTTTGAGTTGTGTTCACTGACAAAGCTGTCACGTTACAGACGGTCTATAGTCAGCGACAGCAGTGGATGATGAAAGTTAGCGCTTTAGCGTTAGCTTCCACTAATTTTATATAAAAAAAAAATTAAAAAACCTGTTCAGAGGTTTATCATTAGCAAAGCTATTTGTTTTAGTGAGTGACTAAGTGGTTAGCTGTGCCCAACAATCAATAATCATGTTATGAAAAATGTATATTCAGCTCCACAAAATTCAGTTTACTTTCTATTACTGTGAACTGAATTAGAGGTTTTATATTTTTATTTTTTTTTATTCTTTGGTTTTGGATGAATAAATTGATGCAGTAGGTAAAGACTGGTAAAATAAAGATTAAATAACTATTTCAATAAATGTGGCAAACATGAAAGATTCTGAAGATTTAAACGACCTGAAGTGGAAATATTTGTTGTCATTATTGTGTCTTGTAGTTTTATCTCCAATATGTGATTGCTTCTGGTTAGTGTATTGATGCCATTGATAATTAGATAAAAATGGGATTGCTCAAAAGTTTCAGGGCACATGACATGCTTTTCTCCCTTAGGAAAAGTGAGTGATTCATTGGACCATCACCCATGTTTCCCTGAGTGATGAGTTGTTCAAGGTTCCCAGGAGTTCACCAAAGGTCGTCTCCATTAGGACCATGTGACCTGGGGCATCTGCTGTGAATGGTTTCAAACTGAGTTTATTAAAAATATCTGCTTTAACGCATTTTTCTGTTACACAATAAAAGTCTTTCAGATTCTTAGATTTGATTATTGATCAAATTCTCTTTATTCTGAGAAAGATGTGAGATAAGACAAGATAGAACTTTATTGATCCCGCAGGAAATTGTTGTGCCCGGGTTTCAACACAAAGGAACGTGCACAAGGACTCACACAAGATGTAAAAATGTAAAAAGAAGAAGAAGAACACAAAACATGGACGAAGTCTGGCAGGCAGCCGCTCGTAGCAGCGCCACGTCACTTCCTGGACATCCTGTCCTATATTTATTTTAGTAGCAATATATTATTTATTATTTTGATGATTCTATCATTAATGATTTCCTTTTCTGTCATTTGCTCCTTCATTGCTTCACTTTTCATGGATGCTGCTTTTTTTTTTTTTTTTTGCAAATCAAGAATGAAAATACTTCATGATTTTATCAGTTTAACCTCATTACTAGACCAAATGGCCCACATCCCAAATTTAATTTATTTTATTTGTGGAATATATTTTACAGCTTGAAAGGTAGAAATGAATGTATGAGAAAAAAAACTCAAGTCTTATAAGAAGAGTAAAGAAAATGTAAGAATTTCTGCTTTGAAAATGATTTCTTGTATTCACCTTATCATTGCAGCATTTCCTGATTTGAGAAAATGTTCTTTCACACGTGCGCGCGCTCTCATCACGCTACAAACCATGGCCTGACATCTTTGTCCAAAGTTTTGAGCAACTTTATCACTAAGCATCTCTGTCTGCAATGCACTGACCAGGAGCAAGCGCATTATTGAGATAAGAAGACCACAACGAACAGCAGTAGCATTTCTTCTGCTGTCCTGTTCAAAGTTTTCATTTTATTTTGTTTTGTCACACTTTTCATAGCATGAGCTCCTCCCCCGTGCATTAATCTTCACAAAATGATTCTAAATGTTAAAGTTAGAACAGGTTTCACTGGAGCCGTTCGCAGCAGAGTGTGAAGCAGCTGGGATGAGAACCAGCACCTCCAAACCTGAGGCCATGGTCCTCAGTCAGAAGAGGGTGGATTGTTCTCTTCAGGTCGAGGGTGAGGTTCTGCCTCAAGTGGAGGAGTTCAAGTATCTCAGGGTTTTGTTCACCAGCGAGGGAAGAATGGAGCAGGAGATTGACAGAAATTGGTGCAGCGTCTGCAGTGTTGTGGACTCTGTACCGGTCCGTTGTGGTGAAGAGGGAGCTGAGCTGTGAGGTAAAGCTCTCTGTTTACTGGTCGGTCTACGTTCCTCCCCTCACCTCTGGTCATGAACTCTGGTAAGGATGCTCCCTGTGGGAAGGATCCAAACTGGGGTTTTTTGTTTTCGACTGGGCCTGTCATGATAACAAATTTTGCTTGGCGATTAATTGTCTCAAATTATTGTGGTAAACGATAATATTGTTTGAAATTTGACAATAATTAGTAATTATTGTCAAATTTAAGAAGAAATGTTGGTTAATTTGTTTTGTGTCTTGTATCTTTTTTGGACCACCAGATGGCAGCATAAGACTTTGAACTGAAGGATGGATAGTGAGGGAGCAAGCAGCGTGTCTCTTTAAGAAAAATGGGAGGGAGGCCCCTTGACGTGACATGGGCTGTCTCTCTTCAGTTCTCAAAAATGTCGGACGCTCGGTGTGGTTTCAGGAAATCTTTAGCATTTTTCACACAAAGCTTTTAATAAAAAAATCAGTAAACAAGTTCTCAGCTTCTTTTTTCAGAGAAAAACAACTTTTTACACGAAGGCACAAGTTTCAACTGTGAATTTTGGAGCTTCGACAAGACGGAGGTTTTTTTCCCTGAGGTCGGCCTGTTAGCTTAGCTCGTAGCTTCGTCTCAGCAGCTTTTAACGATCCACAAACACGATTTTAGACGGTTGAAACAGATTTTAAAGAGAAAGATAGTGAAGAGCACCGGAGTTGAGCTTTTTGTCATCCAGTGTCTTCAGTAGAAAGAGAGACACAAAGAAACGATAAAGCTGATAAATGAAAATGAGGCCGATAATTTTAATTTATCATTGATTTATAATTGTTTTTTTGTTTATTGCCTATTTTCGAGTCACTCCTCCCGTTGTGGTTCTTAATCGCCCTCTAATCTGACTTGAACTTTGTTAGCTTGTCCTGGCACTGCTGGTGTAGCCACGTTAAGTCCTGGTGGAGCCGTGCTGCTCCATCATCTCCCATATCTTCTCGGTGAATGTGTTCATCTCTTGTGGTGCTGTCCGTCAACATGGGGAAGTGGGGGCTCACATGTAGTTTGCAGTTTTGCTGGACGGGTCCAGTGATGTAGCTCCTCTGGTCAGCCGATGGCTGCTGTCTGTTAACATCACAATCGGCTCCTCAGAGCAGCCCGCTCGGATCCTCGAACGAGGTGGTTCCATAAACCGATCTGAGTGGTGGACACTGACAGTGGACAGGCCTTTAACTGGTGCAGAGTTGAGACAGTGGCAAACTGCCACAAGACACACGTATGTTGAACATTGCTGTCGCAGCTGAAATTTAACGAAACTAAAGCGTTGATGTGTCTTTTTTGACGCTAATGTCAATAAATCAAGACACTGTTTCATCAGGACTCAGTCTTTGAGGAAGTTTTAGGCTTGTGTAGGAAGTCTGGGTGTAACTCAAAAGAAGCAAGAAGTTTTATATTTAAAGCTTTGTTTTTCATTTGCAGGGAGACGAGGAGGCTCGGTTGGGATTACCCATGAGCCCTTTCATGGACCGCTCCTCCCCACAGCTGGCCAAGCTGCAGGAGTCCTTCATCACCCACATTGTGGGACCACTGTGTAACTCCTACGATGCTGCTGGTCTTCTTCCTGGCCAGTGGATTAACGAAGCAGAATCAGATGACGATGAAGATGAGGAGCAGGTGGATACGGATGAAGAAGAGGATGAAGAAGATGAGCTAGAAGATGATTTGGCATCAGGTTAGTTTAACATTCACAGCTTTTTATTGATACCAGTGTAAAATATCGATAGTTTTCTGTTCTCAAGTCAAAGCTAATGAAGGACACGCTGCGAGGTGGTTCAGTGAGAACAGACGCTCTTATTTTAGACACAAGATGAGTCTCACTGATGTTGATGCTCCACGCTGGCTCTGTGCAAACTGAGCAAGAGTTGCCGTTAATACCGGACTTCCAGATGTGCAGCGCTCACAGCAGTTTTCACCTTAAACAGTAGGTGTCACTGCTGAAAACAGACCAATATGTAGCAAAAAGCACAAAAAGAAGTAGTTTGCTCTTCATACTAAACTTTAAACTTTAATCTTGGCACTTTTTGAAGTTTGAAATATTTGCAACGACTGGACTGTCTTGGCTTTTGTTCGCTCGTATGGATGACCGTAGAAACGAACATGCTCACGTCCTGATGCATGCTCAATAATCCAGGTAGAAAAATCTAAAAAAGTTCATCTGGTCCTCTGGACATTCAAAAAACAAAACAACAACAAATGTAGAAACGTTTCGTCGTTCATGTGAAAGACTTCCTCAGTCTGAGGTGCTGTTTTCATTATTTCCTGTTGTGTGTGACTGTTAGACGTCAGTATTAGTGCGTTTACTGCATTCATGTACAGACGGATAACCTCTGACTTTGGCCAAAACCATGGTCACAATCTAATCACATGCCTTCCTGTTGTTCTTTGTAGGAAGGACAAAAAATCGCCGCAGGTTGTTCAGCTGCATCATGCAGCACCTGACAGAGAACCACAAGGTGTGGAAGAAGATCATTGAAGAAGAGGAGAAAAGCAAAGAGCTTGGCACACAGCAGCAGCCAGACAGCTTGCCCTCCTCCCCGTCAGATGACATCCAGGTCATCCAGGAGGAAGAGGAGGGAGAGGAGCGTCAGTAGCAGGAGGACAGAAGAACGAGCAGAGCGGAGTAGCTGTGTGAGGACGCACGTCCCTCTACCATCTGCCTTTAACTGACAACGTTTATGAATGCACATAAAGCGTACTTTATTCCCACTATCTATGAACAACACACACACACACATTGAAAGAGTCACTGTGCAGACAGTCATTTGCTAAAGCAGTCACAGTGTTTTTGGAGAAACAAAAAGGCCTTACTACTGTGAGCGGATCCTTACTGCAACGGTGGGGGCCCAACCCCTATGCACTTTCATCCCATGGACACTCACGTGCACCCAGAACTGACGAAGGTGCAGAAGCAGAGTGGATGGGGTTCAGCCTTAAATTTTCCTCCATGGTAAATTGGCTGTGATGCTGCCTTGAATGCAAAGCGCTTAACACCTCCCAATAGGTACAAAATAGTTCCTGTTTATTAAAATAATAAATAAAAAAAACAAAGTTAGAAGAAAATACTGAAGCAGGAGAAGCCTTTACCAAAGTGAACAGTTTTTTTGTGGAGGGACAAGAGACTGAAACGCTTTCAGCCTCAGCGTCAAGTATATTCTTGATATATATATATATATATATATATATATATATATATATATATATAT